TAAACATTCAAAACATTTACTTTTTTTTTTTTTCTGGCTTCTCCCTCCCTTTTAGATAGTTCCCTTGACATTTAATCAGAGAAACATATCTCATAGTAGATCTTTAAACAAGAGAACTTGGATTAAGACTATTACGTGAGCCATATAGAAAAAAAGTCACGAAGTGACACGAAGGCAATTACATAATAAAAGATTTGCTAATTTTTAATCTTCATTTTCCTATGTTTGGCATAAATATACTTTGATTTTATTGAGTCTTTGTATATATTCAGACTCAGTTTACCTCCATTCTATTAATGAAAAAAATTATATGTATTCAGGTAGCCTTGGGAATCTTATGCTTGGTCAAACTGAAAAAAATAATTTGTAGTGGACATTGTGGGTATTGTTTTTAAACTTCTTTCTTCCCAACATCCCATCAATCATCAGATATACCAATCCCACATTCAAAATAGATCTTGATTTCACTACACATGTCCATTTTCGTCATTGCCATCATTCATTTTAAGTCACTGATCATCTTTCACCTACATTATCAGTATCAAAATACCAAAAATTGTTCCTCTTTCTGTATCAGGACTCAGATGTACATATTAAAACCTCTTTAGCTATACATTTTTCCATTTGAATGAATGGAAGTTAAAGAGAGTGGAACAGAGTTAGAAATAAATAGATGTGTAATTCCCATTAATGCACAAGGCTTTGGGTCACTTTTATAAAAATCTGTTACATTTTAAAAGCTGATTTTGTAATTTTTAAATTTGTGGACTTTTGAGATAAAATTGGTTTACAGCAGTGTGTATCATTTTGTAATTTTAAGATTTTTTTCTTTAAAATAAAACCTATGAAGCAAATAAGAATCTCTAAAATGAATCACCTTAAACATTTTTTGAAAATGTCAATTCAATGCTGGTGGAAAGTACTTATAAAATATGTAAAATCCAATTATCTTATAGGAATTCACAATTTTCTGCAGTGTTCTTTGAGTTAGAGACAGTTTTAATATTATAGCCTCTGTTGTCATGGAAACAAGTCTCTGAAGGCAGCCTCAGAGGCTAATGATTCCATGGTGTTGCTATGGATAGAAACAACTGAGACTGTTAGTCACATGGTCAGGAATGAAAAAAACAGAACTCTTTGGTGCTTATTTTATTGAGTGATACAAATGGAGAAGGAAAAGAATGATTTCATTATTTTAGTCACTGTTGTCTAATTAGTGAACTACATCTATAAGATTTTTTCAAGATTAAATGTTTATGCTGAATTCCTTATTTTTCTGTAATAACCCAAATATAGTGTATCCTTCTGCCTCATTATATAGTTTAGAATTCCATGTCTTCTACAGATCCCCAAAGTTTTTTTTTTAAACCAGACTCTCAATTTTGTGCTCAAAATATCCTATTACCTCTGTTTTATTCTGTTATCAGATCTAACTAATGTTTATGCTGTTGCTTATCAACCAGTCTTCATTTGGTTTTCTGTATAAGACTGTATTTTTGTTTCAGATGAACTCATCAGATTATCTTGTTGTTCTGTAATTCTTTGTTACTTGAATTGGTAATTGTGTCAGCTGTGAGGGAAGGCTTTTTCAGGCATATAATATATATATTATATATGTCTTAGGAAGACACAGGAGCATCCATTTATTTTCAAAGTAACTTGCCCAGTACCCTATAGAAAGTGAAGTGGATTAATATGGTAAAAGTTGTTTTGGGATTTTTAAAATAGTATTCATTCCAAATGTACTTTTGAAGAGGTTCAGGGCTAAGGTTGACATTTATTATTAAAAGGTTTATAGTTTATTATAAAGGGTTTTGAAGAATGACTGTCCAGTGCAGAAAATTGTTGTGTTTGGCCTTGCAATTTGATATACACATGTAACTTTGTATTTTTATGTTAAAGTAGATTATTAATAGCTACTATCTGACCCTACTAAAAGGCATAAAGAAATTCAGAGGTGATGGATATGTCTGTTACCTTGATTGTATTTATTGTTATATAAATGTATACATATGTTCAAAAATGTCAAATTATACATTCAATATGTGTAGGTTTTTATTACACCTAAAAACTATTTTAAGAAGTAAAATTCATCTTTGATATTCTTAGTAATTATTGGGGTTTTTCTGATGTTTAATGATTAGATTCAAGTCATACATCTTGGATAAAACTATCACAGATTCTTACAAAATCTATCAATCAGATAGCATGTGATTTTGATTCATCGCATCCCTAGTAAATGTTTGCTTTGATTAAGGATAGCTAGATTTCTGCACCCTAATTATATGTTTTGAGGGGAGAGGTGGTGTCTTTATATCTCTGCCACATTCAAACTTTCATCTATTAGAATGAAATGGAAGGTTCATTCAGCAGCAGTAGAAGTTTTCACATCCATTGATGTCCCTGGAATGAATTATTACTATGATGGTTGCCAAATGATGATTTTGTAATTCCATTATTTTGTCTACCTTTTTTAGTTGACTTTCTAGTCTCATCTCTGTTTACTCACTCTCCATTAAAACTTCCCTTCCCTTTCTCCCTCAACCCCATTCTTCCTGGTAGCCAGTATACTTTTCACAGAGCCTCAAAATTATTTTTGCTGCCCTTTGTCATTTTAGGTTTGTTTGGTTTTTTTGTTTGTTTTGTTTTTATATTCCACAGATAAGCAAAACCATCTTTCATTTTCTTACTTCATTTATCATAATCACCTCAAGACCTATCAATACTATTTCATCTTTTTATTTTTTAATAGCTGAATAGTATTCCTAATTCCTCCCAGTTTATTTTTTGTAAACAGAACCTTAGTTGTAAAATGAAGGGTTGAGCTTAATCCATAGCTGCTGCAAGTCTAGTATTTCTTATGATTGATATTATTTTCAGTTTATTACTAGAGAATGAGATAATAAAAGATTATAATCACTATTTTTTTCTTGTAGTATATACAAATGTTGGTGTGAATGTGTAAAACCTGCAACCCTCAAATTGAAACAGGGTGGTTGGAGTAATAGGAGCAAGAGGATAGGATACCAGGATAGGCCAGAGTGGCCACCCCAACTGTTTTCTAAGGCACGCCATTTTCATTCCCATAGCATTATTTGATGGTTCCAGTTTCTGCACACTCTCACCAACATTTGTTTCTTTATGGACTTATTTTCCCTTTTTTTTTCCCCCTTTTTTAAAACAGCCTCTTATTAGGTGTGAGGTACTACATTGTTGTAACTTTGATTTGTATTTCCCTGATAAATGATGTTGAGTAGCTTTTCACTGGCTGTTTCTGTATATTCTTTGGAAAAATGTCTTCAAGTTTCCATGCTTATTTTGTAAAATGAGTTTTTATTGATTTATCATTTGTTACATACCTACATAATTTCAGAATTATTTCACACCTCAACATGTGCACATGCTTTATTCACCCACTACCACAGCTTCCACGCCACTATACTGCCCCATAGCCTCCTCCACCCCTATCTTCCCTCTGGCACCTGCATATTCTTCACAGGAGTCTAAGAGTTCATTTTTTGTAATTTGTGTTGTTATCTATGTTTGTTTCCATTAGTTGTTTGTATTACAAATGAGTGAAACCGTCCAATAGTTATCTTTCCCTTTCTTACTTATTTCTCTTAGCATAGTCACCACAAGTTCCATCCATCTTGTTAAAAACGTATGCCTATTTTTCAACTGTCTGTATTTTATTGTTGAGTTGTAGGAGTTTTTTATGTTTTATGGAATATTAAACCCCCATCAGATGCATGATTTGCAGATTTTCTTTCGTTTTATAGGTTGTCTTTGCCTTCTTGGTAATGCCCCTTCATGAATATGAGATTTTAATTCTTATAGAAATACAGTTGTTTATTTCTTTTTAGCCACTTAATGCTTTTGATGTCATAGTTAAGAATCCATTGTAAATCCAAGGTCATGGAGGTTTATAGCCCTGTTTTGTTCTGAGAGCTTCATAATTTTAGTACTTATATTTATGTAGTTGATTAATTTCAAGTTAGCATTGTTTTTAATGTGAGATTAGGATTTAGCTTCTTTTGTGTATATCCCATCATCATGATCACTGTTGAGTTTTCATATGTTCTTTAATTAATCTTGATTGCTGATTTGATAGGCAAAAAAAGGTCATCATTGTAATTTTATGTTGTATTTCTTTATTAGTGAGGAAAACCATGCTTTCAAGTTTAGCACTTAATTTTTGTGTTTCTGCTACATGTAGGATATAGCATTCATATAATAATATTTTTTAATTAATTCAGCTTTTAGGGGTTAGGTCTTATAAAATCCCTGTTCTGTTTTTAAAATATTTGATTTTTAAATATTATTTTTAAATTACTCTTTTTAAAAATATTTGATTCATTTTAGAGTAATTGATTAAAGATGTTAAAATTTCTTAAGTATGTCACTAAAATTACCACTTCTTTTTTTCTGTTTTCCACATAATACATGTGCCAGAATGTTAGTGAAATTAATGATTTAACAAGTAGGTTATTACAGTTCCTTGTATTAGAAGTTAATAGCACAGATTATTTCAAATGACACAGGTTCAGTTTCTAATCCTTTGAATCTTTTGTTTGTGGATTTGTAAGTTCTGATTGCCTGTCTGCTAGGTACCTAAAATTACTTTGATTCTTGAAATGTAGGCAAGAAAGTAATAAAATATGTTCTGAATGCTAGAGAAATATTTGGTAGTCTGTGAAGCAAGTATCTTGTCTCCCAGAGGAGGAGTAATATAAGTCATTATCTTTTATTATTTTCATTTAAACATCTAAGGATGTCACTTTTTTTTTTTTTAACTAGAGCTCATTTTAGCTATAGTCCTTAAAATTGGTGTTGGTGGTATGATTATTTCTAAAATAATTTCTGCAAAGTATTTTTGTAATTTAAATTGGAATATTTTATTTACTCAATTATTTCTAAAGACTATATCTTTATGAAAAACTTTCTGTTGTGTTTCCTTTTTATTTTGGTATTTTTCCTGATTTTTTGTTGATGATTTTTAGCCAACAGAAGCTGTACCTCCCTCTTCTCCCACTGTCCCTGTGATCCCTGTCCTGCCAGTCCCTGCTGAGAATACTGTCATCCTACCCACCATACCACAGGTTTTTGTTTCTTTTTTCTTTATAAAGTTTTATTTGCTTTTAATGTTTCATTTGTATCCTTTTAAAGCTGTTTTTAATAATTTCTTTGTTAGATTTTGTAATTCACCTTGGACATCAGTGGGTATTTTGAGGAGAATTACACATTTCAGAGTAAATACAAAATAGGTTTAATGTTTGCATTTCATTTGGTTGTCTATGAAATAGAAAAACATCCTAATCTTCATAATATTGAACCTTACTAGATTTTTACCATGTATTATGTACTTGTAAGTCTAAAGTCATTTTTCAGTGCTTTTGTTTTAGGAAATTTTACTTTCTTCAAATTACTGCCCTTTTGATGTTGTATTAGATGTATCTAGTGGATTTTGTTTTCCTAAATATTTATCTTCTTTGGAAATATGCATCTTTCTGTCAATTTGTTTGGATAACCTATTTCACATTTATTTATTAAAACTAATCACGAATGTATATAAAGTATATGGGAACTCAGTACTGTATTTACAACTTTTATATAAATCTAAAACTATCCTAAATTATTTTTTTAAGAAATTAGCATGTAACAGTCAAAATATGAAATGATAACCAAATGTTAAAGTAGCTGAATATTTTGAGCCTCAGAACTTTTGTGGTTTCAAGGTGTGGCTTATTGAGACCTTAACTGCTTTACCAACAGTCATCCAAAGTCAAAGTAATAGTAGCATTATTAAGTATGATAGTGATATTTGGTGTGAAAGATCTTAGTTTCATTTCAATTGTATAAATGTGTGTTAAGGTATGTTTGCTATTATTGATAGCATAACATCTAGATAAAAATAATGTTTGCTATATAAACATAGTTTCTTTCAATATAAGTTCCATGGGGTAGAGGACTATAGATTATCTCTGATTATTCACATCTCAGTGCTACTCTCCTCCCCTGAAATACAAAAAATCAGTAATAATACTATCAAAAAAAATAGGATTAGGGGAAATGCTAAGACTTCAGTTTATATTAATGTTTTAACATTCCGATATAATCTTTGACTATGAAAATCATTAAAAGGCCGTTCATTGTGAAACTGGGTGAATTAATAAATAAATAAATCCAGATGGATAATTTTCTGTCTTGCAGAGAAGAAACTTGAGTTTATAAATAATATTCTAATTCAGTAAACTAAAATGATGGTAACATTATAATAATGTAACATTTTTCCAAGTATCTAGGATATAGATGTACAATATACTTTAAAGTAAGAGAATTGAAAGTATTTTACTCTTCATCTTTAGGTGTTAAAATAATTTTCTAAACTTCTGTTATTTTATAGTAGATTTTGTTAACATGTATTCATAGGAAAACTTCTTTTCAGAGTTCTCTGATTTACTCAAGTTTCTTAGTTTAGCATCATACTATACTTAAAAATTGTTAAGATATTGCTTAGCCTTGTAGTTATAAATAAAGGTCTTAGAATCAAATTGATGTAATTTGGAACTCAATCTTACCACATACTTTCTAACCCTAAGCATTTTACATAACCACACTATTAGTTTGAGATGTTTCACAATGATTGAAAATATAATAATATATATTTATAAATACATGTACGTACATGATCTTGGCTATTCATATTGTTGCTGTCATTTCATATTTCTTTGAGAAAGTAAACAAAGGAACCAGCTAGAAAAACAAAAGAGGATAGTGCACAAAGAAAAACTTATTTTAGCTAGACTGATTTTAGGTTTTAGTACATTACAAAAGGCCATGTAGCTTATAATGTATTATGTGAGGAGCCAATGGCTTTAGACCTCTATTTCTACCAGGTTTAAGGAACTACATGCAGCTGATGTTATTGGTAATGCTTTATAGTTCTGTTTTAATGTGTGAAAGTCCTTGTTTATATTTATGTCTGTGCTTTGGAAAAAATGGTTTTCATTTATTGTCTTGCTTTTGTTTTAATCATGTAAATACTAAAATGAATACTAAGAAATGTACAAAGAAATTTGATAACATTTACCATTGCCTCCAAAGAGCCTACTGTTTGTGACAAAGACAAGTTAACAAATAACTCCCACATTACAGTTTTATTAAAGGTATATCCAGTACAGAACACCATATTGTTCTGGACTCTTATTAGAGTTCCACAATATATCTGATTGTTGGATCTTAAATTATTTAATTAGTATGATCTACAGCATAACTTGATTTATTTTCACTTTTACTCATATTCTTAAATAGAATAGTATACTTGGGATAACCTTCATGAGCCAAATACTAAAATCTAACCTCAGTGCTGTTTTCCTGTTTGTGTTTTTGTGGGGTTTTTTCTTTCTTTTTTATTTTCAATTCATTTAAGACTGAAGGTAAGACTTAAGGTTGCAGAAATGTACAAAGAAATTTAATAAGCCTTTACTCAGATGTTAGTTTTATTAGCACATCAACTTTATCATTTCTCTTCCTATCTAATCGTACATTATTTTTTATGAACTATTTAAAAGGAAGTTTCACCCATACCCTTTAACCTTTAAATGTTATTAGAACACTAAACATTTTCTTCCTAAGAACAAAAATATTTAATACATTGAGTTAAATCAGAAAATCAACACTATTAGAATATTGTTACCTAGTCTGCAAACCTTAATTATATTTTTCAGTTTTCCCAATAACGTTCTTTACAGGAAAAACAAATTTAGCTCTTTGGCCAGTATAATACAACACCTTGTGCTTAGTTTTCATGACACTTAATCTAGAATAGATCCACAGTCTTCTTTTGTTAAGCATGCCTTTTTTTTTTTTTTTTTTTAAGATTTATTTATTTATGTTCACAGAGCTGGAGTATAGGCCAGAAGTGTGGTGGGTAAGAAGGTTCACCAGAGACAGAGTGGGGAGCAAATCGACAAAGTACACTGCTAAGGGGAGCAGTGGGCGGGTCAGGAGAGGTCTGCCACACCATGTGGGTCACCTCTGGAGCAGGGGATCGAACTCTCACTGCATTGGCTTTGGAGAGCTTCATAATGTAGTGCTTTAACCCGTTGTACCACCAGCGAGGGCCTGTAAGCATGCCATTTTATGAGAACAGATTTTTTTATTTTGTAGAGTATCCCTCAATTTGTATTTAATGCATTTTCATAACTACATTACGGTAAATTTTTCCAACTTTTCTTATGATAAAATATATGTAATATAAAATTTTCCACTTTAACTCTTTAAGTTTGTAGTTCAGTGGCATTAAGTACAGAACTCATCTTGAACTGAAACTTTACCCATTAAGTGATAGTTTCCCATTCCTCCCTTTTCCCCAGGCTCTGGCACCCAAGATTTTGCTTTCTGTCTTATGATTTCAACTACTCTAAGTACCTCATATAAGTGAAATCATAGTGTTGGTCCTCTTGTGGCTATTTCATTTAGCATAATGTCCTCAAAGTTAGTCCATGTTACAGCATATGTGACATCAGAAGTTCCTTTTTTGAAGGCTAAATAATATTCCATTGCATGTGTAGTCCTCATTTTGTTTATACGTTTATCTATCTGTCAATATTTAGGTCACCTCTACATTTTAGCTGTTGTAATGCTACTATAAACATGAAGGTATAAATATCTCTTAAAGACTCTTTTCGGGGCCCTCCCTGGTGGCGCAGCGGGTTAAAGCACAGCACTGAGAAGCTAAAGCCACTTCCGCATGAGTTCGATTCCCGCCTGCCCCGCAGGTGACCACATGGCGCGGCAGACCTCTCCTGACCCGCCCGCTGCTCCCCTCAGCAGTGTACTTCATCGATCTGCCTGTTCTGCTCCCCCCTCTGTCTCTGGTGAATTCTCTCACCGCCCCTGAGCCTCTGGCCTGTACCCCAGTTCTGTATGAATAAATAAATCTTGAAAAAAAATCTCTTTTCAGTTCTTTTGAGTATATACTCAAAAATGGAATTACTGTCTCACATGTTAATTTTATTTTTAATTTTGGGGAGAATTACCACACTCTCTTCCATAGCAGCTGTATATATGTATTCCCACCGACAGTATACTGCAGCTCCAGTTTCTTCATTTGCCAATACTTGTTACACAGACAGTCTCTTACTTAGGATAGTTAAACTTAAAATTTTTTAACTTTACAGTAGTACAAAAGCAATATACATTCATGGAAATTGTACTTCAACTTTGGATTTGGGTTAGTAATATACAGAACAATACTCTCCTGATGCTGGGCAGCATCTGCAAGACACATCTCCCAGTCAGTCGTGCAATCTTGAAAGTAAACTGCTGATAGTCTACAGTGTTCTATGTTGGCCATCATTTTTGATTTACAATATTTTCAAACTAAGATGGATTTATTGGGACATAGCCACATTGTAGGTAAAGGAAAATCTGTATTTTGTTATTGTGGAAGAAGCCATCCTATGGATGTGAGGTGCTATCTCATTGTAGTTTTGATTGGCATTTCCCTTAGTGATGTTGAGCATCTCTTCATGTGCTTATTAAGCATTTGTATACCTTCAATGGAGACATATTTATTGAAGTCTTTAACACACTTTTGATGGGTTATTTTTCTGTTCTTGAGATTTAGAAGTTTTCTATATATTCTGAATATTATCCCTTAGAGATACGTGATTTACAAATATTCTCTGTCGTTCTTTGGGTTGCTTTTTAACTTCCTATATCTTCTGATACATAAAATGTTCAATCTTCAGGAAGTCCAAATTGTATATTTTCTAAAATATTTATGCATACAGAACTGGGGTACAGGCCAGAAGTGCAGGGGCAGTGAGAAGATTCACCAGAGACAGAGCAGGGAGCAGAACAGGCAGATCGATGGAAGTACACTGCTGAGGGGAGCAGCAATGCAGGTCAGGAGAGGTCTGCTGCGCCAGATGGGTCACCTCCAGGGTAGAGATCAAACTCATGCTGAAATGACTTTTTCTTCTTAGTGCTCTGCTTTAACCCACTGCGCCACCAGGAAGGGCCCTGTCTATATACATTGAATCCTTGTATAATTGTACTGCAAAGCTTTTTCTCAGTTTTCTTCAAAGAGTTCCTGTTTTAGGTCTTCTGTTTAGATTATAGGTTCATTTTTTTTTATAGGTTCATTTTTAAGTTAATTTTTATGTATAGTGTTAGGTAAGAGTCCAGCTTTATTCTTTTGAATGTGGGTATCCAGTTTTCTGGTATCATTTGTTGAAAAGATAGTCTTCTCCCCATTTAATGTTTTGGCACCCTCCTTGAAAATAATTTAGCCATGAATTTTAGGCTTTATTTCTGAAATTTGTATTCTAGTCATTGGTCTGTATATCTGTTTTTATATAAATACTGAACTGTTTTGATTACAACAGCTTTGTAGTAAGTTTTGAAATGAAGAAGTGTGAGTCTTGCCGCTTTGCTCTTTTTGACTTCTTCTGTTTCTGCCATCTTCTCAGAATCTATCCTGTTTATTTTTATAAACACTTTAACAGTAATCATGTTAAGTGGTAGCATTTAACTTTTAATGCAGTGTAGTGTGTCTCAAATTAGAATCCAAGATATATTCTCTGGGGTTTGTGAGTTCTGCATTAGAATAATACTTGTTTATTATTCAGTAGGGCAGAAAGACATTAAATAACATAATGAAATTTTGATAAATGCTAAGAAGGAGAAATACAGTGTATAGCATTAAAGCATTTTCTAAATTCCTAGTTTTTTATCTATTTTTAAATTACTGCATCTTAGAATTATTTTATCATAATTTTTTAATGTAATACTGCTCTCTAAAGTTGTAGGAGGATGTTGTATGTGTTATAGCAACATTCCATATTTATGAGACCCTTTATTTGTGAAATTAAATATTTAAAAGTCAAATGAGCAAAAATGTTTCCTAAGGCATGATTTTGAGACTTGGACCAGATTCTTTAGCATAGTTTTCCTATTTTTGAAACATTCCTGAACCTTTATTAACCTCCCCATCCTTATCCCTTTTCCTTAAGTGAACTGTAAGACTTTATTATTGTACAAATTGAAATATATGCAATGTATGCAGTTGACCTTTGAAAACACAGGGGCTATAAGTACAGACCTCCCATGCAATTGAAAGTCTGCCTGTAATTTGTGGTTGAGTACATGAGTGTGACCAAGGGTAGGGGGGGAAAAAATGCACATATAAATGGATCTGCGGAGTTCAGACCCGTGTTGCTCAGGGTCAACTATATGCTATTAGCAAAATATAATAATTTATTAGTTTCTATAGTTTACATCATGTTTTCCTTTATATTACTTCTCTGGATCTCAAACAGTCCCTTTGGGAAAATCAGGCATTGCCGTCTCTTTATAGAAATAGAAAAATGAGCTTCAGTAACAATCGTGATTTAGCTATAGTTAAATGTCACTGATCCATAGAATAATGTAGAAGAGACTTAGAACCAGGTTTTGATGTGTTACTTGAAGCAAAGTGCAGGAAAGAGGGTGGTGTTTTGTTTTGTTTTTTCCACTTGAAATAAATTTTATGAAAACATATTTTTTACAAAGATTCTTCTCAAATTATCTTGTTTTATTTCCTCCTAAGCAAATCTGAGTAATGCTGTGTTCCCTTTTCTGCTACCACTATCCTGTGATCCGAAAGCCTTAAAACAGCCAGATTTGCCAATGTTTACTTTGGCTATATGAAAGTACATTCTGGGCCAAATTTTGAGGCATCTCTATCTTCCAAAAATGGCCAGTCCTTTAGCTTTTGTGCTAGTATATTATATTTCTATGAGTTGTGTTTTATACCATTGAGCATTGTCAAATTTATAAACTAAATAGGGATGGACATCATATTTACAATGCCCTTGTATATGTGCTACCATAGATGTGAAATTCCTGACCTTAATATCATCTTTTAAAATGTTAAATTGAGAATTCTGTTAACTTATATTTTATGAATTGGCATATTGTATTACTGCAAGATTTTCAGCACAGTGTGAAGTTCTTTCAAATGCATATGTCTCTTTTTTTTTCTTTATGTTCCATTTTGTTTTAAAGCACATTTCATTTAGTAAAAGTTGTCTAATTGATATGAAAAAAAAAAAAGCCCATTCAAATTGTGCTACCTTATTCACTCCCATTCTTAGCTCTTCAAAATTGGAGAATTGTGGAGTACTACTTTTGTCAGATATCATTTCTGTATTAGAATTTAGAAAATGTCAGGCTAGTAAGTAATGTGTACTTTATTCTAAGATAAATGTTTTAATTCTCCGCTTCTAGTAGTCTTAAATATTTTCATCTTTATTTTAGGTGTCTAATTTTTAGTCAGTCAGCTCGCTTCATTTGTGTAGACTCTTTATTTTCAGCTGTCTTTTGTGGTATTTGTTCAGATGGCTAGGTTATCTAATTCAACATTAGTTTTTGGTTGAAATTCTTTTTTAAACTTCACTGTGAATGTCCCTGATCAAACTTGAAGCCTTTTATTCCCACAATTTCCATTTCAAATATGATCATTTACTATGTTAATGTTAAAATATAGCTACAAGTACATTTATTGTATATACATTGTTGTCTAATTATGTTCTTTAAGTTAGAAATACAAATTATTTTTACTAGCTGCTATATATATTCTTTACTCTGAATTGAACATTAAACTTAAAATTATTTTGTTGTATAAGTTTTAATAACTAACCCACAGTATTTTATTGTTGCTTTAATTATTAACCTCTTACAAAATGAGCATTTGACTCAATACGTTTTACTTTGCAATATATTATAAAAATTTTAAAAATACTCAAATGTGGAGGGACTAACACAGTAAACTCCCATGTACATAACATTACTAATCATCATCTCATATACATGCTTAATCTATAACCTCTCCTACTCATATCCTCTTTTTGTTTTATTTTGAAGTAAATTTAACCTTTTAAATAAATATGTATTTATTTAAATATCTGAATTTTTATAAGAACCAAAAGGTAACTTCCATACAATGATTAGTTGGTACTGTTAGGTAGCTAGAATTGTAAATAATTTTGTAGTATTATATATACTATACTATACTATACACTATACAATATCTATAGTATATACTATATATACTGTAATAATGCTTTGATAAAAAACATCATTTTCCACTCTGTCTGGTAATAAGTGAGCAGAGCTAACCAAATGGCTTTCTCTTGCTGTGATTTTTGAAGAATGTAACTACTACTATAACTTTCAATAGACTTGTTCTTTCTTGCTTATCACTGTACTTGCTGAAGCAAAATTTGGTGAAGCTGTAACATACTTTTTTTAAGCTTATTGTATTTAGTTATACATATAAGAGCTGGGGTGCAGCCCAGAAGTATGAGGGGGCATGAGAGGATTCACCAGACAAAGTAGGGAGCAGAACAGGCAAACCTACTGAGATACAGGGAGCTAAAGGGAGCAGCAGGCAAGACAGGAAAGGTCTGCCACTCCATGTGTGTTAGCTCCCTGGCCAGGGATTGAATCCATGCCATAGTGGCTGCCAGTAGCTTCACACTGCTAAGACCTAACACTGTGCCACCAGGGAGGCTGCCACATTAGTTTTCTTTATGAAGTAAAATATCAAGTATTGATTTGAGAAACCTCAATAGGTCACTGGGAAATAATTTATAATATTCATAAAATCTCAAGAATCTTCAAGTGCACTAGCTTTATTTAAATAATGATAGTATTTTTATCTATTAGGCTTGGTCTTTACTAAATCACTCAAAAGTAAACTATTCTAAAGTAGGACTTAACATAGTACATGTTTATATGTAATAAAGTATTACTCCTCTTTTACTTGATGTTTTTTGTAGCCAAAATGCATAAAACTTGTTCAAACACAATTCATTATGAAGGAGTTTGGTTTTTTTTTTCTGGATAATAAAATGACTGGAATCTAATAGGATCTTCAGGAAATGAAAGCTAATAATTTCTAGGCTAATCAAGAGGAGCCGGTTCACTAAAGAGTGTTTGTAGGTGTTTTGAGAAGACTAGCGAAGTACTTTGCAAATGTTAAGAAAGGTTTGTCTGTTTTAGCAGATATAACAAGTTTATTTCTCAAAAGCAAATCAATCTGCTTATACCTAATTTATTCTATTTTGTGTTGGAAATGATATATTAACATATAAAAAGCTCATGTAAAACTATATACATCTGTCCTGTGCTAACATTTGTGAACATCAATACGTATGTGGTGATTTTCCTGTTATACTAACACATTTACAATTCTTTCTTTAAGGCAAATCCTCCTCCAGTACTGGTCAACACAGATAGCTTGGAAACACCCACTTATGTAAGTCCCACTTCCTCCCCACATTTTAATCTACCTTTCCTGTTCAGCTTTTGATTGTACATACAAAGATTACAGCATTATTTTCTCTCATACATTGTCCTTACAATGAATGTCACTGAGCTGTTATACTGTATGTTTGAGCCCCTACTTTTAGTTCCTTTCTATATATTCTTAGTGGTAGACTTATTGGTCCATATGGTAATTCTTAATGTTTAGTGGTTTGATGTGCTATATAACTTTTTCACAGCAGTTATACCATTTGGATCCCTATCAGCTTTGTATGACGTTTCCAATTTTTCCAAATCTTCACTCATCTTGTTATTTCCCCTTACCAATATTTTGATCTTTTTTACCGTAGTCATCCTTGTGGGCATGAAATGACATTATATTGTAGCTTTGTGACTAATATTGAGAATCTTTTCTCGTGTTTATTGACTATTTACATCATCTTTGGGGGAAATGTCTATTAAGATTCTTCATTTTTAATTGGATTATCTTTCTTTTATTGGTTACTTATTAAAGTCCTTTATGTATTCAACATACAAGTCCTTTATCACATAATTTGCAAAAATGTCCTTCCATTCTATGGATTATTTTTTTACTTTCAGAAACTGTTGCCAAATCCAGGATCTCAAGTATTTAGGCTTATTTTTCTTCTAAATATTTTACAGTTTTCTCTTTTATATTTATGTCTTTGATCTGTTTTGAGTTAATTTTTTTATTGTATGAGGTAAGGGTTCAACTCTACTCTTTTTCATGTGGATATCCATTTGTTGAAAAGAATGTTCTTTCCACATTGAATGATTTTGACACACTTACAGAAAATCAATTAATTATAAATGTATGGCTTTGTTTCTGTATTTTTAATCTCTTTCATTATGCCACTGCCATGTAGTATTGATTAACTAACTTTGTAATGATAGTTGAATTCAGAAGGTTTAAGTAAACCTCCAAATTTTGAAGTTCATTTGGTTTTTCCGGATTCTTGGCATTTTCATGTGAATTTAAGGGTTAGCTTGTTAATTTCTGCACTCAACCGAAAGGTAGCTGGGATTTTGATATGGATTAGATTGAATCTCTAGGTAAATTTGGAAAGTGTTGCCAGATTATCAGTATTATGTCATCCAGTACATGAACATAAATATCTTCATTTTGCTTTCATCTTTAATTTTATTCAATAATATTTTATAATTTGCCAGTATATATACATCTTGTGCTTCTATTAAATCTACTTACTATAAAATAATTATTTTATTCTTTTAATACTGCTATAAATGGAATTATTTCCTTAATTTTATGGATTTTTTAATTAACAGTGTGTGGAAATGTAGTTGATTTTGGGTATTGATCTTCTGTCTTCAACCTTATTGGAAAATTTATTAGCTCTAGTAGTTTTATTTTGTGTAGATTTCTTTGGCTTTTCTACAACAGATAAAGTCATTTGCAGTAAAAATATTTCCTTCTTTCCAGTCAGCCTTTTTAAAATGTTTTTCTTGCCTAAATGCCCTGACTTGGAACTTCTATTAAACATTACAATGGCAAGAGCAAACATTCTCATTATTTTGCTTTATCCTTAGTAGAAAGCTATCAGTCTTTCACTATTAAGTACTATTCTCAGTTTGAAGTATGAGAGTAATTTTGTTGATACTGGATACTGGAGTTGATTCTCTTACCATGTATTGCTGTTCTTTCCTTAAATAATAAAAATGTTAAAGGCAGGGAAAGTTAAAGACAAAGTTTTGAAGTTCCAGCAATGTGATAAAAATTCAACAATTTGTTGAGACAATTTCCATCTCAACAAATTGTTTTCCTTTGGCTTTATTTTCCTTAAAGCAGACAAATAAACAGTGAAAGTGAAGGTTTGGAAAATCCATTCAGTTTGACTTTGTTCATTTTCTTAGATACTAAAACCGTTTCAATTTTTTCATGTGTAGTGTAATTGATAACTACAATATTCTAAAATGAGCCTAAGTGGCAATTCACTGTTTAGGAAAAGAAGTAAACTCTTTGGGGCTTAATACTTAATATTTAGCTATGTCAGTTTTTCATTAGGAAGAACATTGTCTTCTTTCCAGTACATATTTATTTTTAGATTATTACCTTGTGATGATATAGACTTTGAGATTTTTAATTGCTTGAGACTGCATTAATATGAATCATGACTCATAAGAATGTCAATAGATAAAATCTTGAATTTCATTTTGTTACTCTATAGTTAGATATTACTGAATTGAACCTAAACAACAGAGAATTAATAAATTATGCTGTTATTTATCTTCCTTTGGGCAAGTCTTACATTGTTATGTAATAGGATTTATTTGCCCTGTTTAGATATATTAATGTGGGATGATTAAGAAATTTAAATCTTTGAGCCAATAAGGGACTGAGAACTTCTGTGTCACAAATTTTTCCTTGTTTTCTGCCATAAATATACCCATAATCAAAACAGTTTGCATTTTTTTAACTTAACTTAAAATTTATTTTATTTATATCTTATCTTTGCTTAGGATAACTGCTGTATAGGCCAAAGGTGAGGGGGCTGAGAGAATTCGCCAGAGACAGAGTAATGGGGCACAGAACAGACAGATCTACAAAAATATACTGTTCAGTAAAGCAGCGAGAGAGATAGGAGTGAGTTGCTGTGCCATGTGGGTCAGCTTCCTAACCAGGGATCAAACTTAGGCCTTTGTAGTGATAAGACTAAGACTTAACTCCTAGGCCACTAGCGATGTCATAGAGGAAAAAAAGAAAGGTAGGAGGAGAGAGAAAATAGAAACTGTTTTGGTGAGATGGAGTTGGACTTAATGATTGATATCAATAGCTGCATTATTTAGTGCAGTAGCTTCTAGCCTAAATGTTGCTATTTAAATTAAAATTTACAATTTTATTTGTCTGTTACACTAACCACATGCTAAGTATTCAATAACCATATATAAGTAATGACTCCTACTGTATTAGACAAGGCAGAAAATTCTGTTGGATACTGTTGATATAGAAAAGTAATACTCAAGAAAAGCCAAGTAAAATTTAAATTATGAGAGTTTTCGCTAACAAATACTAAAATATATTCTAAATCATTAATGAAAGCAAAGTAGTTGTGATCCAGAATCAGAGATATCAGTGTAATACAATTTACCATTGACATAAGTTTGCATAATCTGATTATTCTTTTCCTGGTCAGCTTTCTTATATTAGTTGCTCTTATTATGGCTTTGTGTATATCTTTCCTCACGTTTTTTTGTTTATTTATTTTGATTTACCATCTATTAAAATTCTTTGAGGTCTTTCCTTTTAACCAAATAATTGCCAAAACGTCTTTAGCAGTTTACTTTTCTTTCATTGCACTTCTTTGCATTTTCCATACAAACTATAGTTGTTGTTGTTGTTTTAAACCTTCTTGATGCTCAGAAAATTAAGGACTGCCTAGTTTTCATTCCTTAAAAAAAGATTCAATACTTTTCATAATCAGTACCCAACCTATTAGTTTTTGCTCTAGCTATTACCCCCTAGAAACATCTCCATTTTGTTGACAGGACTAAATTCAAAACCTAGAAAATACTGGTAGCGATAACAGTTCCTGATAAGTATTCTCAATATATTTTTACATTCTTTGCTTGTTTTTTTAAAGATTTATTTATTTATGCATACAGAACTGGGGTACAGGCCAGAGGTGCAGGGGCGGTGAAAGGCTTCACCAGAGACAGAGTGGGGAGCAGAACAGGCAGATCGATGGAAGTACACTGCTGAGGGGAGCAGCGGGCGGGTAAGGAGAGGTCTGCCGCGCCATGTGGTCACCTCTGGGGCAGGCCGGGATGGAACTCATGCGGAAGTGGCTTCAGCTTCTTAGTGCTGTGCTTTAACCCACTGCACCACCAGGGAGGGCCATATTTTTACATTCTTAAGCGGAAAATATATTAATGATTTTGTCTTCCCTAACCTTGTTCCCAGCTTACCTCTCACCTTGTCCTATTAATAGATAGCAACACATCCATTAACTAAGTATTTTTTTCCCCTGTTGGAAGCCACATTTTGTAGAGACATTAAAAAAAAAAAACAAGGCAACCATTTTTATATTTTGCTAGAAACCATAATTGCTTTTGAAAACACTGCTACTATTGTTTTATTTTTTCTTGAATTATACTTGTAATTTATGGCTTGGGTAATGTATTCTTGGCATTTAGAAGTCCAGATTGAATGTGTTAATACTATAGAATTGTTTCTTTAATGAAATTACCAGTTTCAAGCTATTGAGAGTTTAGGAATAAAGTCATTTTGGAACTTTGTGGCCTTCTCGCTTTTAATTTCTTTTAAATCATTCTGTGCTACCTGGACCTTGCCAGCTACCGTGACGCAGCATTAAATTAAGTACCTAGCACATTTACTAATATTTAATGGTGAAAATCTTAGATTTCGTAAAGCAGAAGTCAGAATCACAATACAAAAGTTTTACATTTTGACACCAAGAAAACCATATGAATACACTCACTTAGAAATATTTTCCAGAATAAAATTTCAAGCTATTTAGATATAAACAAGTGAACAAAACCCAATGTAACAGTTTGGATCCAGCCATAGCTTATAAAAGCAGAAAAAAGCAATAAGCATAAGTAAATTGAGCATACCACTCAAGAAGCTTAAAGAAAATCCAAATAAAGAATTAATAGAAATAAATGCAGAAAAAAAAAATGTAGAATGCAATGAATGAATCAGTAATGTTAAAAGTACTTCTCTAGTAAAGACTGATTGACTTTTAGCCAAGTCTAAGCAAAAAATAATAATAATAGAGAAATAACACTGATATTAATAACCTTTAGAATAAGAAAAATGGCAGAGCTGCAGATAGGGGTTTATTTTTACTGATTTTTAAAAAAAAAAGACCTCCAGTCCAGTTAAGTGTAGTGCATAACCCTCCTGAATTCTGGTTGCATAGAAATCTAAATGCATGCTTAAATGAACTCTAAATGCATGGTTATATTCATCTGTAACATATTATCTCAAAAATTAGAAAATCTCTTTAGCTGAAAAGGAAAAAAAGTGTCAGTTGGGTTTTAAAATAATTGGAGCCATAAGAATTATGTAGTAGTGATGTGTTTCAAATCCTCTGAAGAAGAGAACTCCCAAACCCCTGAATGTGACTTAAATAAAGGGTTTTGTGTGTGTGTGTGTGTGTGTTTTTAACAATATGGCAAGGTGGCTTTCATTTTATTGTGCTGTTGTTTTATTATTCTGTCATTATATGACAAATTACCCTGAACTTTAGTTTCTTAAAAGGTAAAAATTCATTATTTTCTGTGATTTTGTTTATTCATATGGCTACGGCACTGGAAAAAAAAAATAGATTTGGTTTGAGGTACAGCAGAAGCTTTTGGCCAAAGGCCTTGATTCACCTTTATCTGAATCTTGTCATAGGCCATTTCGTTTAGGTTTGTTTATACTGTAACCGCTGGGGTTCTTCAGCGTGCCTTCTAAGTGAAGGGCAGGCACTAAGGGCATCATATTCTGTAGCTTCAGAGATCAAACAGCATCATTTGTGCCACATGCTTGCTTGTTTGTTTTGGTTTTTTTGGTTTTGTTTTTTTACATCATCCTTCATTTTGTGCATTTTTCCATCTCAGTTGTAATCCCCATGGGCCTCCCACCACCGGTTGCCACATGCTTTTTATCAAGGTTCATCTAGGGCTTGCCTAGATTTATGGGGAAAGGGAAATAGTTTACATTTCTTGATGGTAAGATGGTTTAGGCATATTGCAAAAGGGCACGTAGGAAATATCTGAAGAAATGAAGTTTATCACAACCTCTGTTTGACTGAGTTTGAGTATTTTGTCCAATTTCATATCACCAGAAATGTTCAAGTATGATTTAAACTCAAATTAATTTGATTCCAATGACTATTTACCCTTTTCCAATAACCCTGCTCCTGGATTTCTTTCAGGAGAAATAGGAAATAAATTAGAGAATGAGAGAAGGTATTGGTCTGTAATATGTGAGTAAGAACTTGAATGGTGAATCAAATTTGAACATAAAATATGGACGTGAAATCTGTAAGTCTGTAAAGGAGCTTTACAGGCAGGAACTTGAAGAATCTTAAAGGGAAAAACAGGTCATTCAGATTTGATGATACCTACCTAAGACTTATGAAGAAGTGAGAGTTGTACGTTAGGAATGAAGCTGAACAGTAGGCTGGGCTAGTTTATGTAGAGCATTGTATGAGCTTCTGAGTTTTAGAGAAATGTGTTGTTAGACATGGACTTCAAAAGGATCTATTTGTGTAAACACTGGATTGATGTGAGCAGTGGAGAAAACTAATCTGTCTAACACATGAGATGGATTACAGTGGCAGTAGCCCAGAGAAGAGTAACAAATGGTTGATCCTAAATCATAAAAGTGAGAATGAAAAAGTGATGATTTTCAGAAAAATTGAAGAATTCAAATCAGTAAGAATTTACTGTAGTTTAAATGTGTGGATCAAGGCAAAGAACCAAAAGTCTGTGATTCTGACAGCTGGATATGCATACCCTTTTTATATTTGGAAGTCATAATGCTGTGGATATCAACTCATTCCTTACATTTGTATTCACACATTCCTTGAAAATCTTTAAAGTTATTAAAGTGATTTCTTTAAGAGGTTTTTACTAGTAGGTCATGCAAAAATTATCTTAACATTTCACTCTTTCTAAATTCTAAATTTCTATGCTGCTTTCTCCCCCATTAGGTTAATGGCACTGATGCAGATTATGAATATGAGGAAATCACACTTGAAAGGGTAAAAACTATTAATTATCTTAAGATTTGTATGCACTATTCTGTTGCTTTAAAGAACTTTTAATTATATTGTTCATTCATACAGAATTCCAAAGCAGAAGCTTTTTCAAAAACAGAACCATGTGATGTTAATTTCTTTTATAAGTTGTTTATATGGTAATTACAGATCATAAAATTAGCCATGGTATTTTTGGAACATGTAGCTTTTATTTGATAATCTTTGTAACATAAACTTTTATTTTAAAATAATGTTAGATTTACAAAACGTTAAAAAGAGAGTTCCCATTTCCCCTGAACTCAGTTGTGATTATCAGTGTCTTAGATTACTAGAATGTAATGAATGAAAGCATTATTTTTCAACTAATGAATCCATACTGTTATATTATTACTAACTAAAATATATAGTTTACATGGATTTCCTTAGTTTTGTTTTTCCCTTCCAGGGTCCAAATCATTTAGTAATGTCTCCTTAGGTTTCTTTAGACTATGACAACTTCTCAAGTTTTTCTTGTTTTTAATTTTATCATTTTACATAAAATAGTATTTATTTAAAGTATTTAGTGCTCATGTAATATGGTCAGCAAAATAATAATCATAGTTCAAATTAACAAGAAGTTGTCAAAAACTTATTATATACTCCCCCACTCAGAAAATAAAGGTAAAATTCAGATTTGTAAATTGTGTTGACATACTTCCCTATTGAGAAAGCCCATGGAGGGGAAAAAAAAAAAAGAATGCCCATGGGTAAAATACTGATGCATTTTAGTAGTGCCAACTCACTGACCAGCATTTTTGGAAAATGAATGTTCTACACAAATAAACGCCCTAGGAAACTGAATGTCACTGTATTTAAGACTAAACTCCTATATAATCAGATTTATTTTTATTTGATGACAAATGGATTGTGAGTGAAAATAGACCTGAAAGGGTCTTTAACATTTAACAAGGTGGATGATAACTTTGAAGTAATTATTGTGTTAATGTATTTTACATATTTCAATATGGTATGTGATTTGGGGGTTTTTTTCCACCTTTATTGAAACATGTAATATAACATTTTATCTTACTCATTTCTCATCCTATCCCAGTAACTTTTAAATTCCTTTACTTAGTCAATACTACATACTGTATGTTTTCACTGACTGAACTTTAGTGCTGGAAATTGAGATGTAAAAGGGTACAAACTTGTGACTAGAAGATTGCACATTTAATCTAATGTGCATCATAGTGACTGCAGTCAATACTGTATCGTACACTTCAGAATAAGAAACTAGGTCTTAAATATTCTCTCCGCAAAAAATTATAATATGTTTTAAATGTATTTGTTAATGCTGTGGTGATAATCATTGCAACATATATCAAGTCAACACCTTCTACACCTTAAACTTATAGAATTTTAGTGAATTATAGCTCAGTTTCTTAAAAAAAAAAAGATAAAGAATTTTTTTTCTTTAGATTAACCTGTCACAACTTAATGATACTATTAGGAGGCTAGTAAATTTCTGAAGATTTTAAATTAAAGAAAATTGGATTAAAATAGAATCGAAGAACACATCATAGTGTAGTTCAAACTAATACTAGCAGTTGAGAATAGGTACAGGTATATCCACTTACCTGAAATCCAAAGTTAGAATGAATGTTTTCTTAAAAATTAACATTAACACAGTTCCTTAGAACAGTTGTCCTTAGAGATTCTTTTTGTAACAGTAGAACCCTTTCTTCAAGGAAAATGTAATACAGAAATTCAATATTTAAAACAAGCAAAAGTAGGACAGCTTTGGCAAAATTGACTTTTGCTGTCAAATAAACTCACAGGTTGGGCTTTCAGTTTTTAAATGCAATTTTTGTTAAATTAAGGATGACGGCAGTTGTTACTGGGAAGATACAGTTTGTTCATTTTAAAATAACTTGATGGCAAAGTTAGTAGAAGAAAAGCACCACTTTCTAACCCTTGTTTTTAAAACTAAAACAATATATTGGTTTTACTAAGATATAACAGCAGCAGAAAAGGATCTTTAGTGTTTTTGTCTTAGTGAAGATTTGCCATACTAAACATGCGTGTAGTCTAAAAGAAAAAGACCTAATAGTCGACACTTCTGTAAGTGACTAATCCAAGGACAAATTGCACATACTTTTATAAATAGAGAGAGAAATAAAATAACATAGACTAGACTCCAGAAGTACTTGGTGTGCATTCTTCATTCTCACCTGTTCAGCAGTAATGTCTCTGAATTCTTCGTAAAGAAAAAAGTTTCCCTTAGATCAATTTGGAATCTTCATATTCCCCACATATGTACCCTTATATATGTGCCCCTTCCCTATGTTAGTAAAATTCTAGGCCTTATCAATAAAAGTCTTATCTTAGTGTTCCCCCTCTATTCCCAGGGAAATTCAGGGCTTGGTTTCAGCATTGCTGGAGGTACAGACAACCCACACATTGGAGATGACTCAAGTATATTCATCACCAAAATTATTGCAGGAGGAGCAGCTGCCCAAGATGGAAGATTGCGGTATGTTTTACAAGTACATTTTATGTTGCTATACAGAATCCATTTTGTATATTTTTCTTAAGTCAGACTGAATAAGGCCTTAATATAAATAAGAACACTGTTATAGTAACTAAAGTAAGGTAAGTTCTCCAATAACAAGTTAATGAATGAAATTGTGCATTAAGCATTGTTTTCCTGTTTCCATTTTAGAATTCAGTTGTATCTTAAATATTACAATATTATGAGTAATAAATTTGATTGGCAGCTTACAGGTGAGCAGATTTATAGAAATCATAGGTTTCCTTTTATATTTTCAAATACATTCATTAAGTGCTTTCCCCTCATTTTTAGCATGGGAAAAATATATATACACTTATTGTAGATACAGAGGATTATTTATATTTGAGCTTATATACTATACCACAAAGAATAGTTTATGCAAACTTTAATGTATTTTCTTAATTAGAACATTGGTCTCTTAGTTACTTTAGTGTTCCATTTCAGAAGCTATCTTTGGCATGCTTTGTTGGTTCTTTAGGCCATAGACTATAACACTTTTTCTACTCCCTTCCTTGTTATTTCTTATATATGCTGGTAGTCTGTGAAGTTTTAGGACTGGGGATTAATTTTCCTTTTTCCTTATATTGACATAAGTTGATAGCACTATATTGGTTTCATGTTCATAGTTTCTCCCCTCAGCAGCCCACTCTGTGTGTGTATGTGTGTGTGTGTGTCAGTGTCATTCTGTGCCCCACAACCAAATGTCCAGTCACCATCTACCATCGATCAAGCAACTTTGTTCACCTGTTCTCCCTTGCCTGTTCCCTTTGGTAACCTCCATTCTATTGTCATAGTCTTAACAGTTTATTTTTATTTTGTTTGATCAATTTTTTTTCTTTATGTCCACAAACAGTGAATGAAATCATATGACTTGTATGGTAAATTTCTTTCTCCTTCTGACTTTTTCATTTAACATAATCCCATTATTGCCACAGGTGGCAAGATTTCATCATTCTTCATGACTGAGTAATACTGCATATGTACCTGCATCTTAATCCATTCATCTGTTGTTATGTTGGCTGTTGTGATATTGGTTATATCTTGGCTCTTATGAGTAGTATTGCAGTGAACACAGGAGTGTAAATGTCATTTTGATAGTGTTTTTATGCTTTTCAAGTAAATAACCAGAAGTAGAATTAGTGATAGTTCTGTTTTTAATTTTTTGAGGAACCTCCATACTGTTTTCACAGCTGCAGTCGTGCAAGAGTGTTCTTTTTTTCTCCTCATCCTTGTTAGCACTTGTTACTTCTTGGCTTTTTTATAGTAGTTTTTCTATCTGGTGTGAGGTGGTAACTCATTGTGGATTTTATATGTACTTTATTAATGATAAGTGATATAGAACATCTCTTTACTTCTGTTCATCATCTACATGGTGAAATGCCCATTTAGATCTTCTACCCATTTTTTTTTGATAAGTTTGTGTGTTTTTCTTGGAATTGTGTTTTTTATATAGTTTGGATCTTAACTCCTTGTCTAATAAGTTGTTTGCAAATATCTTCTCCCATTCAGAAAGCTGTCTCTTCATTTAGTGATGGTTTCTTTCACTATGGTGAAGCATTTCCATTTCATGTTAAATTTGTTCGTGTTTTGCTTCTATTGCTGTTGATAGTGCCTCCATTAAGTCTAGTGTCAAAGAGCTTATTGCCTGTGTCACCTTCTATATATTTTCTGTTTCCGGTCTTATATTCAAGTCTTTAATCCATTTTGATTTGATTTTAATCTATAGTGTTAGAATGGTGGTGTTTCATTCTTTTGTCTGGCTGTGCAATTTTCCCAGAACCATCTATTGAAGACATTTTCTTTTCTCCATTGTATACTCTTGGAGTGTGTGTGTGTGTGTGTGTGTGTGTGTGTGTGTGTGTGTGTGTGTTTTGGGGGAGACTGTTTTCTGTGGTTTTGATTCTTTTATTTTAGGATTTATTTATGCATACAAAAACTGGGGTACAGGCCAGAGGTGTATGGGGTGAGAGGATTCACCAGAGACAGAGTGGGAAGCAGAACTGGCAGATCCACTGAAATAACAATGCTGAGAGAAGCAGCGGGCAAAACAGAAGAGGTCTGCCATGCCATGTGGGTCACCTCCCTGGCCGGGAATCGAAGCAGATAGCTTCATGGTGCTGTGCTTTAACCCCTTGTTCCACCAGGGAGGGCCCTCTGTGTTTTTGATTCTATTCCATTGATTTTGTGCCTAGTTGTGTTTTGGTCTTTCTCTGTACACCCCCTCCCCATACTGTTTTCATTACTGTAGCTTTATAACATAGTTTGAAGTCAGGGCGCATACTACATAATGATTTGTTCTTTTTTTCCCTCGGGATTATATGGCTATTTGAGGTATTTTGTGAGTCCATACAAATTTAAGAATTTTTTGATTCTATGTCTGTGAAGATTGTCATTGGGGTCTTAATAGAGATTATATTGAATCTGTGTATTACTTTAGGTGAAAATGGCCATTTGATAATATTGATTCTTCTGATCCATGAACATGGAAGTCTTTCCATTTCTTTGTATCTAATTTCTTTCAATAGTGTCTTACAGTTTTTAGTGTATAGGTCTTCTTTCATTAAATTTATTTTTGAGTAATTCTTTTTGCTATATCATAATGGTATTTTTTTTCATTTCTCTTTCTGTTAGTTGTTTTCATATGAAAATGCAAATATATATGTGTGCATGTGTTTGTGTGTGTGAACTTTCTAACCTTACAACTTCACTGTATAGTTTATTATTTCTAAGAGTTTTTGATGGCATACTTAGGGTTTTCTCTATATAAATCATGGTATTCAGGCTTGGGAAGAGTATATGTTTTAAGGAATTAATACATTTCCAATAGGTTGTTAAATTTGTTGGCAGACAAATGCTCACAGAAATGTCAGGATCCTTTGTATTTCTTTAGTAACTGCTCTGGCATTTCTTCCATTTCTGAATTTATTTGAGGTTTATTTTTTCCTTTTTATCTTAAAGAATGTCAATTTTATCAGTTTTTTTTTTAAAGATTTATTTATTCATACAGAACTGGGGTACAGGCCAGAGATGCGGAGGGTGAGAGGCTTCACCAGGGACAGAGTGGGGAG